TAGTCCATTATATGTACGGGTACACCACATTTTGCTTATCCATCAATTGATGAACATGTGGGTTGTTTCTCCACTTTTGGGCTATTATGAATAGCAATGCTATGAGTGTTCTGGCAAAAGTAATTTTTTTTTTTTTAATTTAGGGATGATTTACATGTAATAGAAAGCTCAAAAATATGTACAGCTCAATTTTACTAGATAACCACTATCCACATCAAGGTACATGTAGCATTTCCATTAGCCGACAACTAACTTTCCCTTGAGACTCTTCTCACTCAATATCTTTCCTCCTTCAGGTTAGCATTATTATGACTTTTGTTAACTATAGATTAGATTTGCTTGTTCTTGAACTTCATGTACATAGAATAGAATCACATGGTATATACCCAAGTAGTCTGGCTTCTTTCTCAACATGTTTTTGAGATTGATATTTTTTGCTTGATTTTCTAGTTTGGTTTTATTTTTTTAAGGTATTATATAGTATTTCATTGTGTGAGTTGTACCACAGTTTGTTTATAACTTCACTTGTCAGAAGGCAGGTATTATTGTGGGCATAAACACTTTATTTCTCTTGGATATATAAGAGTGAAATTGCTTGGTTGTAAAGTAGGTACGTGTTAGAAACTGCCAGTTTTCCATAATGGTTGTACCATTATACATCTACCAGCCCTGTTTGAATTCCGTATTTTTTTTCACATCCTCATCAGCACTGTGGTGTAGTGCATATATTGTTTTGTGGTAGGACTATCCTATCCACTTGTACTAATTCTTTTGTAATTTACTTAGACATATTTGCTACTTACTTCTTTTGTTTTTTATTTTCTGAGTGATTAGCTCTTCCTCAAATGTTGCAGATGTTTTCCTTTCTCTTTTATATTGTTTATACTGATGGGGGGAGCATATAAAAGTTTCACATTTTATCCACTTGATACTAAAACTTTTCTGGCTTTGAGCCTCTGGTGTCATGGTTAGATTTTCCCCCACTAAAATAATAAAAACAGATAACTTGGCTTCCTTCAATTACTCTTACAGTTTTATTTTAAAAATTTTTTTAAAATGTGTTTCTTGATGAGAGAGGGAGAGAGGTATTGGTTGGTTGCCTCTCATACATGCCCTGACCAGGACCAAACTCCCAATCTTTTGATGTACAGGACGACATTCCAACTGTGGCACACTGGCCAGGGCAGTTTTAATTTTTTATATTTAAACCTTAAGAAGTTAGCAATTGGTAAAGGTCCTTTGTTAATGTAACATTTATAGATACCTGATGTACTGTAGGAAAATATAGTAAGTAGCATACGCTCACTTTAAGTCACATGTAGCTATCCAGCCAACAATGACAGTGGTGATTGTGGTTGTTTTAATATGACTCCTAACTATAAACCAATAAATAACTTCACTTGGGGCTCCAATCATAGAAAGCAGTCTTTTCAACTCAGGAAAAAACAAAACGAAACAACTGCAGTATTATGACCTCCAAGTGTTGTATGAGAGGGGACCCCAAAATAAGTAGAATTTATTTAGAAAACATTGTGTATTTATTCTTACATGTTTAAACTTCAGTCACCTTCAAAATACTGTCCATTGCATGCACTACACCTAGCAAGATGTTTTTTCCACTGCTCAGAACAATTTTTGAACTAATTGATTTTGATGCATTTTACTGCTTCTGCTGTTTTTTGTTTCACCCGTTCCTCACTGGAAAAACATTTCCCTTTAGGACTTGTTTGATCTGGGGAAACAAAAAAAAAGTCGCTGGGGCAAGATTGGGTGAATATTGAGGGTGGGGCACAGGGTTCATGCTGGGTTTTTTTGGGAGGGGTGATCAAAAACTGCTGAACACACAGCATGGTGTGGGCAGGTGTGCTTTTAAATCACCCATCATGAAATGGGCAAATGCGTTGAAAGAGTCTTCAAAAAAATTCACTGAAGCCAAACGTAGCCTCTCACAAAAATGCCAGCTGATAAACTGATACAGATGGATTCCTAGAAAACTCACCTAGAGGAGGAAGCCTGTATTATAAAATTCCTGCCTGCCAGAAGATAATTCTAGGTTTTTTGGGGGGGTCCCCCTCTTGTATATAAAACCACATATGCTGTACTTTATAGGTGATTTAAGGAACTACAGATTGATTTGGCAGTATTTAGTTTATGCCCTACTGGTTTCAGTACATACTCCCTGGAAAAAAATGAGATTGTACTATGTATGATTATAGAAACATTTGTTTTATCCTGATATTTGCTAAAATGTTTTCCATATGTTATTTATTCCTTACAGCCATCCTGTAAAGTAGATTTTGCTATACTGATTTTGTAATTAAGACTTAGATTTCCTGAAGCTCAGGAGTTAAAAATGTAAAAAGTGATGTCACCTGTATAGGGTGGGGCAAATGTAGGTTTACAGTTCACATGGAAAGTAATACCGTAATTAATAAATAATAATACAAGAATAAACTCTTGTGTTTCGCAGACTCACAACTGTAAATCTATGTTTGCCCTACACTGTATTTATTACCAAAACTGTCTGATTCCAGAGGTCCCTTTTAGGAGTTCATAATTTGATGTAGAAGATAAGATATATTCTGAAATATAAGTGGCCTTAAAAGTCCATAATGGTCCTGGCTGGGTAGCTCAGTTGGTTAGAGTGTTGTCCCCATCCACCAAGGTTGCACATTTTATTCCTGGTCAGGGCACATGCAAGAATCAATCAGTGAATACATGAGTAAGTGGAACAACAAATCAATGTTTCTCTCTCTCTCTCTCTCTCTCTCTCTCTCTCTCTCTCTCTCTCAAATCAATTATTTTAAAATGTGCCATAGTCATAGTATGGATAGTAGTGTCCTTTGTAGGCTACTCATGGAATTTAAATTCTAATTGATAGGAAAGGCAGATGTAAAGCCAGGACTAGGTTGGTGTTGATGGGAATGGAGAAAGTGGATGTATTGACTATATAAACATTTTGGGATAGAATTAACAGGGCCTGATATATTGAATAGGAAAGTATTAAAAATGACATTCAGGTTTATGGCGTGAGTAACTGTGAGGATAGTGATGAAATGGTGCAAGGAAACAGAGCCACAGCTTTTAGGGGAAAAGATACATTGACCATAGTAAGTGTGAGAAGTTTGGGGTAATGAAGGTAGGGATGTTAAATCTGTTAAATCTGTTAAAATGATTTGGACTGGAATACCATTTGACATTTTGTTTAAAGATGGGTTGGATAAAATCAGCTGGGGAATGGAAAAGACACCCTATGACTTGAGTCCTATCACCAGGTTCTATCTAGCATTTACAGATTAAATAGGATAAGAAACCAGCAAAGGAGCCTGAGAAAGGACCAGGAAAAGTGAAGTATGAATTGTGTAGATGGGAGGGTGTTTCAAGAAACTAGCAGTGTGGTTAACTGTGTTCAGATCTGTTTAGAGCAAGGGAAAGGGCAAATAACTCCCCTTCATCCATTTAATTACTCCTGTTCTGATCTTAAATTTAAGAGGTTCTTCTTTAAGGGGAATTCTAGATTATATTAAATTTCAGGAAATTCTTTTGTTTCTTCCACTTTGTCCTCTACTTCTTCATTATACTTTATTGCAATTAACTGTTTACCTTGTTTTCCTTTATTAAACTCTTTAAGTTTCCACAGGGTCAAGGCGCCTTATTTGTTTTGTTCTCAGCTCCTGGCATGGTGTCTTGCACCAAGAACATTTTGATGACTAATTTTAGGAGTGACTGAATGAGTAAGAGTATCATTCTAGGTTCTAATGTGGAAGAAATTTTTATATCCAAACGGAAATTTTTGTTTTGAAGAATGCTTATGGGTAGGGGAAGGCTGTAAAAAACTAAAATAAAAGTCACTGTTAATGTAAACGTGCAGAAAAATACTAAAAACATGGGCTGGAAGGAGGAGATGACATTGGGGGCCAAAGATGTCGTCTTTAGCCCAGATGAGGTGGCTAAATTGGGGGAGAAGGAGTGAAACTGAGAAATCATACAAGGAGGGAATTTAACTTGAAGGTTCAGTTCTTTTGAAAACTGTTAGAAACAACTATGACAGGCAGTTGGTTAGGCATTCTTCCACAAAGTGAAAGGTTGCAGGTTTGATTCCTGGTCAGGGTACATCCCTGAGTGCAGGTTCAGTCCCCTTGGGTCACATGCAAGAGGCAACAAATCTTTGTGTCATTGGTGTTTCCCTTCCTCTCTTCTCCTCTCTCTAAAAATAAATTAATGAAATCTTTAAAATAAAAATGTTAGAAACAAATATGACAGGTTTAGGAATCATTAATTAACTTTTTTGTAGTGTTAATGAAAGTGACCCAGGTATAGAGTATACATTTTGGAAAATAGAAACTATATAAAAGATAACTCCTCTCTAATCCCACCACTCCAGAGATAACTTAGCATTTTCGGTGTATTTCATTTTCTGTGTATGTTGCATTGTATTTGCTTATAAATGTATTTATTAAATTATCATTACATAGTTTATATCCAACTTGTATTGAATGTTCAGAGTTACTGATTTTTAATTTTCTACTGAAATAAAACATCCATACAAAAAAATGGTCATAAGGGTACAGTTGATTAATTTTTACAAACAGAACACACTTATATAACACAGCCATATTAAGAAATAAAATATTATTAGCACCTTTAAACTAACCCCCAGGTTGATTTTTTACTGATTTAGTTTGTTTCTAGCCATTTAATAGACTGTTTCTATGGAAAAATTATTACTGAATTGGGGAAACAAGTATCACAGAGAATATTGTTTTTGGTCTGCTGCCACCAGTGTAGGTTAAGAATGCTAACCGGCGTATATGGGAAGTGCAGCAGAATACAGGCAAATGCAGACATCCAAAATGTTGTAAGAATTAGGATGTTAAATTTTTTTGTTATTGTAGGTGAGTGACAGGAAATAAGTCTGGGCTTATTGTCACCGAGTGGTGGAATAAAGTACTGAGAATATTTGTTTGCTGAAATTTAAAATAATGTGTTTTTGTTTGTAGGCACACAAGTCTATGAATTTTGTTTCGACACTGCTTCAGATTACTATGTCGGAACAACTGGATTTACCTGTGAGACAAGCAGGCAAGTTTCCTGAATTATTTTCTTGAGTATATGTAAACATTATTGTTTAAAAGATTCATAGATGAATAGCAGAAGTACCTTGGGGTGGCTCTCCAGTGATTTTCTTCCCTCAAAATCAGTTTCCCCTCATGTGTTTACTACAAATAGCAGGAATCTTGATATTAGGTGGCAGAGTTTAAAAGAATGTAATATTTCATTGAATTAAAAGAGAAACTGATGGGGTTTATTAAAAGGTTCTTTGTTTAGCCCTTGCCAGTGTGGCTCAGTTGGTTGGAGCATCATCCCTTAATGGAAGGGTTATGGGTTCAATTCCTAGTCAGGATACATACCTGGGTTGCAGGTTTGACCTCATCTGGGTGCATACAATCCCCCTTTGGGACCCCTCCCTCTGGACACATGCAGGAGGCAACCAGCTGATGCTTCTCTCTTACATCTATGTTTTTCTCTCTCTCCCTTCCTCTTCTCTCTCTAAAGGCAATGAAAAAATGTGCTCAGGGTAGGATAAAAAAAATTTTTTTAAATGATTCTTTGTATAGGCAATTGTTTTTTAACAGCTGTTTGCATTTATTGTTTATTCCAACAATTTAAAGAGTACTATTTCTTAGTTCAGGTTTTAGTGAGATACTGAGCAATTCCCTCAGTATCAAAGTCTGAAAATACGACACTACTGATATTATGTTAGTCTAGAAAATAATGCACTTAACATCTTTATGTTTTACTATGTAATTTCATTGCAGATATATAAATTTTACAGGAACTATAAAGTACTAATAATTTCATCATCTAGAAAAAAACACATATTCTGATGGTATTTTTTTGCTCTTTTATTCTCTTATACCAATTTGTTTAAAAATATATATATTTTTTTGCTTTAGTGTATAGTAAGCATTTGCCTTTTCTTTACATAGGTCTTAAAAGTGGTGTGTGTGTGTGTGTATTTTTCAAAGATTTTATGTATATTTAGAGAGGGGGAAGGGAGGGAAAGAAGCACCTATGTGGGAGGGAAACCCGATTGGCTGCCACTTGCATTCACTGCAACCAGGGACCAAATCTACAATCCAGATGTGTGACCTGACTGGGAATCAAACTGGTGACCTTCATTCACTTTGTAGGACAATGCCCAGTTGAGTCACACTGGTCATGGCAGAAATTAAATTTTAATGGCTAAATAATTTACCATAATGTGCTATATGCAGTGAACTATTTCTTAATTATTAGAATTTAATCTCGGGTCTGTTTCATTAATAGTTGTATTCCCAGGGCCTGAAATATTGCCTGGCACACTGAGGGTACTCAATAAATAAATGAATGAATGTCATTGTTATGATTTTTTTAAAATTTGGCATATTGAGTTACACAATAATGGAACTTTTTTTGTACCTATAAAATATAGTAATTTAACTGGACTCTGGCCAGCAGTAAATCTTGTTAACACATCTCTAAATAAGTAGGAGAAGGTTGCTTTAACGTTTTAACGGTTGCTCTTTTTTTTACTAATGAAGTTGACATTTTCTTATTTGGTTATTTTTAAGATAAGAATCTTTGCCTTTGAATCTCAAATTTTTACTAAGATTTTCAAAGTGTTTGGTATTTAGAAGGGACCTTAACAAATTTTAGAGACTTGATTATGTGTATTACGTGGCTGTGACTCCCTGTTACCCTATGAATGAGTGATGTCCATAATATCTTGTCCTCAACAGCCCTGCTCAGCTCATATAGAATTGTGCCTATGGCTTCTTTTGTGGAGTCAATCCATCTCATATTTGCTCTTCCCTTTTCTTGCTGTCTCTTATTTTTCTCAGGATTATTGTCTTTCCCAAAGAACCATGCCTTCTCACGATCTTCCCTAAGCAGAACAGCTTCAAGTTTTGTCATTTTTTCCTACAGCAATGTTTCAGACTTAATTTGCTCTACAATCCACTTGTTCTGTCTATTCATCTTTCTGGTAGTCCAGGGTATCTGTGGAGTAAAATGAAAATTGTACTAGGAAATATTTCTTTAGTATTACAAAACCATAAGCAACCAAACTATGGAACTGTTAAACATTTTAAAAATATGATCATTACTTTGAAAGTTATATCTTTGAAATATTTGAATGGTACTTGGTAGTGTATGGCATATGGTGGTATCATCTGCTAGACTTTGAAAGATTCTGTGTTTGTAGTAGAGTTCATTCTGGATGGAGTAGGCTGTGAATCATGAGATTCTTGAAGTGCAGTTCTCACTTGTTGAACCAAACAACCTTTAAAATTCCAAATCAGCATTTTACAAATGAGAGAGAGAGAGACCCCCATTCCTTTGTGCATTACAAGAGAAGGAAATACTTAGAGGCTGTGTCAGGTCTTACTTAGGTCTTTGTTCTGTTTTGGAGCTAAAGAATCAAAATTCTAGTAGTATCAATCTGAAATGTGTCAGTCCTATTTACTTAGTGTCTATTGTAGATGTATAGTTTACCTTAAAACATTTGTTGAAGGGTATTTTAATGTGTAGTCTTAATCTTTTAAAAATATTCTGAGATGGGGTTTAATTCCCAAGATAAAGCAAAGCAGAATATAAAAATTATAGAGTTGTATTAGTTACCCTTATTTAAATAGGTGCCAGACTCTAGGTAAGAGGTAATCGTTAATCAGAGAAGAGCCAGTGTTTGCAGAATTTAGGAATTAATTAATTTTGAATAATTTCCCTTTCCTATACATTTGTGATCGAGGTTCCCTCTCGCTGTTCATACCTCTCTCTCTCCCCCTCTTTTGGAGGGAGAGGGCTGTAAAAAGCATTGTTAGCAATCTAGTTTAGTTCAAGTTAACCAGCAATGTACATTATAGCAGTCTGATAGCTGACAGAAAATAATCTATAATTTTGAACACAGCAAATTCTCCCATAAAATAATGTGAATTTGAAGCAGTATAATTGTGGTATGATTGAAATGCTTAGAATTATAAACTAAGAATCTTTATATACTCTACTTTTTCTATAATAAAAACAACCTTTGTGTCTTAGTTGGCCTGCTGTAACAGCACCATAGGCTGAGTTATTTATAAACAACAGAAATTTATTTTTCACAGTTCTGTAGGCTGAGAAGTCCAAGGTCAAGACATTTACAGATTTGGTGTCTGATAAGGACTCATTTTCTGGTTCATAGAACCTCAGATAGTGGAAGAGGGGGGAGCAAGCTCTCTGGGGTCTCTACTAAAGTAAGGGCTTTAATCTCATTCATGAGGACAGAGCCCTAATTATGCACCAAAGGCTTTATTAGCATCACATCCAGTATTAGGATTTCAATCTGAATTTGCGTGGGGTTGGGGGGGGGCGCACAAACATTTACTATGTAGCGGTGATTTTTAATTGTAGAAGCTCTTGATGTGTTAGCTGGTTTTGTCTTTAGAGGCTTCCTTTAGAAAACTTGTTTGTTAAAACTAAATAGCTTTCCTACAGAAAACAGTATAAAAAGTGTAATGAATAAATGTGATATTAAAGGTCTTAACAGTTTAATTTGTAGAGTGTTTATTTGCAAAGTTATCTTAATCTCTGTGTTTAGTAAAAAACTTTGGGTGACTACTGTAGGTAAGTATTAAATTTGTGTTTGATTATCAACTTTTATAATAATAGAATGCATTATTTTGTTTTTTAAAGGATAGTGATACAACAGTGGTTGGTCTCAAAGAAAGAAATGGAGGTGTGGACACTTAAAGGGATTTTCTCAGTGCTTTCATAGTAAATACTCTTTTGTCAAATCAACCTATATTTTAGGTGTTATCTATTTGAAAAATATGGTAACGCAGTATTGGCCTGATCGGGAGACAGCACCACGGGATATATCTCCTTATACAATTCCAGAAGAAGATCGACATTGTATTCGAGAAAATATTGTAGAGGCCATTATCCATTCTCCTGAGCTCATCAGGTATTATCCATATATATTTTTTAAACTCGCTCACTTTTACAGGTATATATTTTGTGGGGGTTTTAGGAGGGTGTGTGTGTGGGGGGGGGTCTTTTCAGAACATACAAACCTGTCATTTTTATGGCAGAAAAACTAACAAATGCTGTTACCATAGAGTTTTTAAGAAATTTTTGTACTACAGTTAAATTTTACATTTATAAAACTAGGATCTTTTAAACACTGTGTAAAACTTGTGAAACATACTGTGTTCATATGAAAGGGGGTAAAGAAAACTACAGAATGTTGTCATATAATTTATTTTGTAGTCTTTCGTTCTTTGAAATAGTAGGAACATAGTTTTTGCTCAGTAACTTATTTCTTATTTTTGTCTAAAATTGTATGTATGTATGTATGTATGTATGTATGTATTTATGTATTTATTGAGTTACCAAAATTTCACCTAGGTGGCATTTCTTCCTCCTTACTATTTATTTTTGACTTTCAGGGTACAGCTTACTACATGTATTCATCATATCATCAAACATGATTACCCAAGCCGCTGGACTGCCATTGTGGACAAAATTGGCTTTTATCTTCAGTCTGATAACAGTGCTTGTTGGCTAGGAATTCTTCTTTGCCTTTATCAGCTTGTGAAAAATTATGAGTAAGTGTCCCTTTCAATTCCTGTAGAGTTTTGAGACGTGAGAAATATTTGGAAAATTTAAGCAAATTTGAACATCTAAAATTACTTTTGGTATGTATTGGATTTGCCAAAGTGTGTGTTTTTTTTCCATAAGATGGCTCTAGTAGTGCTTAGTTGTCTCTTAACTTCATTCGAAACAATTTTGTTAGATTGTATTGTGACAGTGTCCATTTAAAAAATATATCAGCATTCACTTAAAAAAACTTATCAAAATTGGTGGATTTTTGTGTAGCTATTTTCCAGACTGAAGATGGAGGAAAATATGCAGCATTTTCAGCATATTATGCTTTGTTATTTCAAGGAAGGTAGAAACACAACTGAAATGTAAAACAGTATTTGTGCAGTGTATGGAGAAGGTGCTGTGACTGATTGAACATGTCAAGAATGATTTGTGAAGTTTCATGCTGGACAGTTCTCACTGGGTGATTCTCTACTATTGGGTAGACCAGTTGAAGTTGATAGTAATCAAATCGAGACATTAATTGAGTAGAGTCAACGTTATACCATGCAGGAGATAGCTGACATCCTCAAAATAGACAAATCATTAAAGTTATTGGTGAAAATGAAAAATGTATCTTTTATGGAAAAAACCATATGGACTTTTTGGCCAACCCAATATATTAAAATTAGACTTTAATTGTGTTCTCTTTTTGAAATAGCAATTTTATTTTAATTCTGCAGTCTCTCTGTTGATTCAGCTAGTAAACTACTTGTGTCCTTTTTTCTTAATCATGTGCTCTCCTATTAAAAAATGAGTTACCTCTTAACTTCTCAATATGGGCTGATGAAGGCGTCTTTTTATAATGTGAAGGGAATTATAGTACGTTGAGCATTAGAGCTCTTTATTACTTCTGGCTTTCTGTGAATTTTTATCTTAATTTGGGATCTTGATAACTTATAAGAACTTATCTCTAGTATTTTTAAGGAGAATATATTGGAATTTCATATGACCATTTTTAATCATTGTGCTTTAAGGGATTCACAGTCACCTGTTTCAGTGTTTACATAATTGAGCAAATTATAGTTCATATTAGTATTAGTAAGAGATTATTTTAGACCAAGGAATCATCTTAGTTTTGGGTTTAGGGATAAGAAAAATGTATAACCTTGGAAGTTGAGGTAGGTAGCAGTAAGAGTAGTAAGTCAAATATCAAAGGGGTTTTCTCTTGTGTGTGGTGAAAGTAATGAAACTGATAGGCACATGAAAGATTTGACATTAGAAAATTATGAGGAAGGGTTGAGGAACGTTTTACACCTTGATGGTGGCATTATTTCCAGTCCTAACAGTTACACAGATGCCATTGTGAGCCCTCTAATTGTGGTGCTTGTAGTTAGCCTCCAATACCATTTTTGGGTCCCATCTCAAAGTAGCTGATGAACTGCTGCATTTGTTCTGAGCAGGAGAGAAATATACCATTTACAGCATTGGTACTGGTGTTTTCTTGTGTTCCCACCAGCTACCCATCTTCCTGCTAAGGAATGTTCCAGCTGTTGCTCCAACCTCTGTCAGAGTGCCAGTTGTAGTTCTGGTAAGTGAGTGACTAAAATGAGAGAGAATATCAGTTATAAGCTGTATTGTCATTGAGGAGGTCCAAGTCTCTCTTATCCTATAATCTTAGCAGGAGAGCGTTTAACAGGGGGGTTTTAAATGGGAGACACAGGAGGCTGCTACAATATTGGAATTCCAGTTTATTTTCACCCACTGTTTTATTGTGGAGCACGAGGTATTCACAAGGGATCTGTGTGGACTGAAGCAGTTCTAAGAAAATTCTTGGAGAAATTGGAAGTTGTGATGGCCTTCAGGAGCGTAGATCCTCAGGAAATAACTTGTCAGTTGAAGGAGCACAGCAGGAGCACTTGAAGAGGAAGGCATGGCACACCATATGGAGTAGTGTGAACAAAAAGAAAGGTACAGAGGTGGAAATGAGACATTGTCTTTAGTGGGTAGTGAGGAGACTATTATAGTAGGGATAATTCTATTGAGAGTTTGGGGGTAATTTTGGACTTGTAAATTGGGACTGTGCTAAAGAGGATTTTGAATGTCAGGAGAAATTTGGATGTGATCTTTCAGATACTGGTGAACCGTTGAAGTTTTTTTCTTTTTTAACAGAAAAGTTATAGTCTAGTATGTAAGGATTTCCTATCAATGTGGCTTACCTGATTGACACACCATAGCCTTGTAGTGGGCTGTTATTAATCACATACTTTCATGAGTTCAGGAATTTAGTCTTAATGGAATAGTAATTTGTTTCCTACCATAAATTAATTTTATACCAATTATCTTAGATTAGTAACTGGTATCACTCAACTTGTAGTCCTCTACTTTAATGTAGAGAGGAAGGTAGGAGAGAAGAATGTTTAATACAAATAGGTATTCACACTCTCAGTGTGGTGATCACTTGGGTTGAATAAACGGAGAGGGGTGCATAATAATAGTTCTCACCTTTATTGTTAAAAGGGGATATTGTCAATAATTATTATAGTTTCTATAATCAGATTGGAGACTGCAAATGGCTTCATTTTATAAAATTTTTTTTATTGACTAAAAATATGTACAGATAACCTTTTAAAATATATATGCCAGGTATACTTTCTCAGTACATTCAAATATTTAAAATAATCTGCCAGTTTTATGATTTAATAGTCTCATTATTTATGTGAACATTTCTCTTTGTGTTTTTTATTCTTGGCAATTGACTCTGGTTCTCATTTCACCCAAAGGCAAAAAAGAATCTAGCTTTTTAAAAATGTACTCAGATATGCAGTTCTTTGTGTTTAATTCTGACCAAGGACGTTTCTTTTTCTTTTTCTTTTTCCTTTTTTTTTTTTTTTTTGGAGAGAGGGGTGGGGTGGGAAGGGGGAGAGAGAAGCATAGATTGGTTGCCCCTGGTAGGTCCATGAACCTGGGATTGTCTATGCCTGGACCAGACCAGGGAACAAACTGCAGCCTTTCGGTTATGGGTCAATGGTCCAGCCAGGGCAGATACGCAATTCTTTAAGTATATTTTTCTTCTTCAAAAAGTCCACCAGTAGATAAACCTGGATTCTGGTAAGAGAAAACCAACTTAAAGCCTTTTAGATAACCTAATCTAAAAAGAAAAGCTATGCCTTTTAGAATAATGACTTCTTAAACACTAGTTTGTATTTTGCAAAGCTATTATGCCTATTGACTCCTTAATTATGGAAGCTGGAGTTACTTTCTCAGTTCTACACTAAAAAATTCAATTATTTAATTCCTTTTTTGAAATAAAGCAGCCGACCTTTTAACAATCCAGCTAAAATGCTAAGGGATCTATAAGTGAAAATGTCTCAGGTCAGCAATTTGTTACCCATCATCTTGGAGCAAATGTGATTCAGAATTCGGGAATTTTTTTTTTTTGGATTTTAGGAAGGAAATAAGGTTCACATAATACATATTACGTCATGTTGCTATTGAAATCTGTACCAGCAGCAAGCAGAGACAGAAGGCTGGAGGGGCACTGCGCCATGGGGGCAAGCGCATAGTCACCCTGTTGGAACCCACTGCAGGCACGAAGCTCAATGTGTGGCGAGTGGCGGGATGGCAAAGTTAATCAAGAACCCTTTTTACTGTACAGGAAGAAGAGTCTCAGATAATATCTTTAACCATTAAGGACTCAGTAAAACTAGGTTCCTCCCCATTTCACATGTGAAGATCACCATTCAGCAAATTAGGACCTCCTATAGGATGAGGTTACATCCATATAAACCCATCCTAAGTTGAAAATACTGCTACTTCTTCGTAGACATTTAAAAAAAAAAATCAGCATTGAACTGTTTGGAAATGAAACATCACTTAAAATCCTCCCAAACTCCTAATTCCAAAGAATTGGCAACATTCTCTGATCAAGAAAAGAAGTGATGAAGTGTATGTTGAAAGTATCCTGGCACTGGTCCTGTTTTTTCCTCTCTAAATTTGAATAAACATGGAGAAATGGTACTTGATGCCAGTTGTGGTCTTAATAGGACTAACAGTATGGTGGACAGTTCCTCTTAATTCTTATTTAGGTGCTAGAAAACTCCTTGTGTTTGCTGATTATGAAGCTCAGAGATGCTGGCAAAAAATAACTTAAAATTTACCAAGCAATGCTATTTTAACAGCAGTGATAACAATTTACTGTATTGGGGATTGGATTATCCACCTCTTAAAGCTTATCACAGTCTTTTATGTGTGTATGTAAGCAAAGTCATAAATCCAGACTGGATTGCTCTCTATACCTCACGTGGATATGAGAGTCAGGCACACAAGCTCTTCTTGTGTGCAACAGTGTGAGTTGCTGATTTGCTGATTTACATACTTGCAGTGGTTTTGTACTGTTGTTTAAAAGAAACTAAAAAAAAAAAACAAAACACGTTGCTAATGCATTATGCATATTGCTGTATTAAGGTCTTATTCTTACTGACTATAGACATTTTCAGTATCCTTTACTAATTTAGAAATAAAGTCAGATGCATATATATGATGAAATCGATGCTCAGTTTGTGTCATGCTATCATTCTGTGATATCTTATTTGTTAGGATACTTATATAAACTATTTTCACAATGATATGTAAGAATCTCTTAACAAAGTTGTTACTTAAATGGTAAAATAAAGAGTTGCTAAAAGTAGAATTGCTTTTTCACACCTGTTTGGCTTGGCAACTGATTAGCTCTTCTGGAGAGTGGGAAAAAGAAGGCCAAGTATAATTTGAAAAAGATATAACATACCTGCTATCTTTTGTAAATGTTATCTGACACTAACAAACGAAAAACAATCTTACACTTTTTTGAGTTTTAAATCAAGATGTTTCTCTAACAGTGGTAGCTGGAAGCCTCAGGAAACTGAAACTGAATAATTAAAATTTACTGTGTGGATTTTATGCGTAACTTTGATAACTAAAATAAGGAACATTAAAATAAACCTTGGAGAAAAACTAAAAAGAGAAATCTGTACCAGCACTCAGTAGTAAAACACATTATTATTATATTGGCTATAAAATACGTATTTACCCCAAGTAGACTAAATGAAGATCATAAATAGCCTCTTGAGGTTGGGTTTTGTTGCCAGGTGGGTTATTTAAAAAATTTCTGGCTTACTATGCTTTTATAAACAGAATATTTTCTGCTTTATAGATGCCACTCTGCCTTAATACACTTGGTATGTGAATTATTTAAGGATGGTAAAATATAATTGATTTTATATCAGCTGCTAATGTTTAAAAGCCAAAATCGTTGTAGCTCTTCAGCTATACAGCCTTCAGAATTGGAAGTAACATGGTGAAGTGGTTAAGAGGGCAGACCCTGGATCTTGACAGCTGAGGTTCATACCTAGATGTGTGTTCTGGGGAAAGCATTTAACTTGCCTGTGTCTCCGTTTCCTCAGCTGTAGAATAGAGGATACTAATGGGACCTTGAAGATTAAGACCTTATGATAAATGCTGAGTAAATTTTACATATACTTTTATTATTTGAGATTTTTTTAAGGTTGCTTTTTGTTGCAGAGTAAGTTTTTCTTCTATTTGCTTTTATTTGTGTAAACAAACAAGTTTAAATTTATATGTCATCTATAAATAAAATTGTGAAATAAAAGTAAAGTTTTACAGAATTAGTTTGTATTCCTACCCAAAGGTACAAGAAACCAGAGGAACGGAGTCCATTGGTAGCAGCAATGCAGCATTTCCTGCCAGTGCTAAAGGACCGTTTTATTCAGCTTCTTCCTGATCAGTCTGATCAGTCTGTTCTTATTCAGAAACAAATTTTCAAGATCTTCTATGCTCTTGTTCAGGTAATTTTTATAAAGCAGTGTTTAAGTATAAAAAGTCAGTGTATCTAAATTAAGTGGATGAATTGCTAGTCTATAAGTTGCCAAAATTTTAAGTAAGTTAAAAGTCCAACCAAGCATACTCACCCAAATACACAAACAAGTCTAATAAATCTTAAATTATAAACGGTCAATCTTAAGTTTTCTTAAACCATCCAACATTATTTACAAAATCAGTAAATTTTTTCTTGTACCTTTCACCTTAAGAATTCACAGGTCTAAAAATCAGTTGCTTGATCACGGTTTACATCTAACAAGTACCCTGATCTGCCAAATATACATAGATTGTCCCAAGAACTACAAAACCCATTTCTAAGCTTATATTACATAAAAATACTGATACTGTGGGCTTGACTGGCACACAATAATGGGCTTCAACACTTTAGTATATTTTAAATCTTTTGGGGATAAAAGTTATCCACTAAGGAAATGGTTGTATCTGTATTCTCAGTGGAATGTAATTACTTAAGAAACCTGAGTGTTTGATCAGGATTAAAACTTTGCTTCTTTTTGTACCATATAGCCATAGGAGGATTCATCTCAACTACCAGGACTTTTGGTTCAATTCATGCCTGTACTTACTTTTTAAATCTCTTTTAAATAGATCTATGACTTTACCTCCATTGAAATTGTAACTGTCCACCTCCCTTGTTTGGTTGGATTTTGCATGTCTTTGCTAGATCTTTAAAGATAATCTATTGTCTCCAAGTCTTAACCTAAGGAGCTTTAAAGCTAAGGAGCTTTAATTGGCTCCTTCTTATGCAATTCTTTTTGAAGTGCTTTGATAGACAAGTATACTATTTCCTCTTTTTTTCCCCCTGACTGGTAGGACCTCCATCTTTTAGATTAAAAATAATTTCTTTTTGTAAATTATTGTAGGGCATAGGACAAAATATCTCTGCAACAAGTTTTTTGAGACTAGCATACCTTAATATAAAAATACAAGTGTAGCTCCTTCTCACTTGTGAAAATAAGTGTCCTAAAATCCTAAATAGGATATTGATTTTGTGAGCCTATTAAGTGAGGATTTATTCCAAAAACGCAAGAGTGGATCAACAGTAAGAAATCAGTTTTTGTGATAAACTCTTAATATGAGAGAGGCCTGTAGCCATCTTTGAGGATGTCCTTCCTACTTTAAATAAAATTAATAAACCTGGAATTGAAATTCCTTAACTTGGTAAAAAGTGTTCACTAAAAATCCATAATAAATATCATACTTTATGGTAAAAATAGAAATACTTCCAGTAATTTGGGGAAAAGACAAGGATGCCCACTGTCATTGCCACAATTCCCCATTGCAGATAACTAACCAAATTTGCCTGTGTATTAAAAACAAGAAATGTTCATTGAATGAAATACTTTTTGTAGGTGCTGTGTAGAATAAAAGGAAGTGGGATTTTCTTTTGTAAGGATTTTAAAAATTAATTCTTGATTTTAATTTAGTATACACTACCACTGGAGCTGATAAACCAACAGAACCTGACAGAATGGATAGAAATTTTAAAGACAGTTGTGAACAGGGATGTACCTAATGTAAGTATCTTTGTGATCTCTTATATTACTAAACATAAATATTTAGTTATCTTTTGAGAATTATAACTGCTGTTTCCTGTACCTTCTTTGTAAACTGTGATAATTCATGATGGAGATTTTTCTAGATGGATACCATTTCATTGTTTACATATGTTCGTATACTAAGTAAAAATTTGTGAAGGGGTATTTCATATATTATTTAAATGCTTGTATATCTCTGTTAATTTCATCCTGATCCATCTGTTTCTTTTCAGTTTTTAATTAAGAGCTCATAACATGTATTAGCTCACATAGTTACAATTTTTCATGTAAACTTTTAAAATCTACTTGTTTAGCAACCTTCAAATATATAATACAGTATTGTTAACTGTAATCATCATTGCATCCCCAGAACTTATTTATCTCATAGCTGGAAATTTGCTTTTTTTGACCGCCTTCCTAGTGATTACTTATGGTAATCATTTCATAGTATATACCTGTATCAGATCATTCTGTTGTATACCTTAAACTAAATACGATGCTATATATAAATTATAACTTTTTAAAAAGTCCACAACTAGATTTTTAGCCTAATAATTTGCCAAGACATCTGTGAACAGGGAAGAACTTGTAAGTTGACTAAACTTTCATAGTTACGTTGTTTTTTTAAATAGCTTTTAGAAATATAACTTAAAAAGCATAAAATTGACCTTTCAAAGTGTCTAATTCAGTGGTTTTTAGTTCATACAGAACTATCAAACTATGTTTTTTTCAACGTTTAATCACAATTTTAAAAATAACTATAATTTTTCTTTATAATCGAGTTCAGCGATTTTCAACCAGTATGCTACAAGAATTTTTAAAACATGTACTACTTGACTATTTAGTTAGGGACACTGACCTCTTTTTCCCTTAGATTGTCAAAGTAAAAAATGACAGCTGCCAACACAGCAATAGGCATCCAGTGTGAATGAATAAAAATTGTAACTATTTTTTTGTCAGGGAAAAAAAATAATTAGTTTGTGTGTGCCATAAGATGAAAAAGGTTGCAGATCGCTGATTTAGTTTTCTAGAGAGGTAGGGAATTTACAATCCTGAATACCTTTTTAGTGCTTTTTAGTACGTTTTTAGTGCTTTTACTAACATACTTTATTAATCTACAAAAAAAGAATTTAAAAAATCTTGCTGAATTTACTTTATACAGAGATATGGAAGAGTTCTGCAATTTGTCCGGCACAATCTTCTTGGTGGTATAAGTACCAAAAAAAAACAAAAACAAAACCTGTTTTGTAGTTTATTGATCAAATTTTTACTTTAAACAGTACAAAAAAAGTAAACAGGTCATTTCCCTCACTTCATAGGAAACTATTATAATTTGATGAGTATTTTTCTGTACACACTTAATACAACTATGAAATACATATTTTTATATATATTGTGAGCCTTTTTGGTGTCATTTATAATCATACACATGCATATATTATGAGAAAATAGTTCAATGGGTTAGGACAGTCACCTGCACCCATGTAAAACATCTAGCATGGTTATGTTCTGTAGCGTGCTTGTTCCAGTCATCCCTACCATCACCATTCCCATTTCTAGTATCATAGATGAGATTTGTCTGTTCTAGAACTTAATATGAACTTAGTTTTTTTTGTTTTTGTTTTGTTTTTTGTTTTGTACCTGCCTTCTTTTGCCTAATGTATTTATCAGATGTATTATGTTGCATTGTGGTAGTTTGTTTCTTGTTATTGCCAAGTAGTATCCCATTATATGGATACATATATAAAAATTGGATATACAAGTTTATGGACGGGGGTGGTTTCAGAATTTTAGTAATGGATAAAAGTGCTATGAATGTTCTTATACAAGTCTTTGTGATCACTTTTCTGTGTCATTTTTCTTGAGTTAAAAACCAAAGGGTAGAATTGGGTTGTAGCGTAGGTGTATGATTTCTAATGTAGTTGTACCATTGGTGTCACTGGCAATGCATGGGAGTTTTAATGGCTATAACTTAAAAATATGCCATGGATGTCTTTGGTAAATATAATGACCTACTCTATTCATCTTTTATGGGTGTTCCATAATTAAACGTCCCCTTATTAATGAAAAGTTCTTGGCAGTTTTTCACTATTACAAATAGTTTTGCAAATGAATATTCTCATACATATATCTTTATAGTGATATTTCTGAAATGGAGTTTCTTGCGACCTTTTGATTTGAACTGTACTAGTTTTGATTAAACTACTTGCCATAGCCTTGACTTTATATTGTGTGGGTCTCGAGTGAAATATTTGGGTTTAAGCTTTAAAAGAATTTTTAAAAAGCATATCCTTTGTAAACAAGTAGCTGAAGCAGTGGAAGTGCCTCTTACATTTAAATAAGGGTTAGGACTTTTTCAAATCTAGCTTTTCATTATGAAAGGCCAGTATGGGAGGAGGATGATGTTTTTGAGAATCTGTTCTCACCTCATACTGTTTCTCTTAGTTTGTATCATCTCTTATTATCTATCATTAAATAACTGTCTCTTTAAATAAGGAAACACTTCAAGTTGAAGAAGATGATAGACCTGAGTTACCATGGTGGAAATGTAAGAAGTGGGCTTTACATATTTTAGCAAGGCTTTTTGAAAGGTAAGCTCCCAGATATACGATGAATTTAAGTTCATTTTTTTTCAGGCTTTTGGTTTTATAAGAGCTGATATAAAGTATTGTAAAGTAACAGTGGGCATTTTAATGTTCTTTTAGATATGGAAGCCCTGGCAATGTTTCCAAGGAATATAACGAATTTGCTGAAGTATTTCTGAAGGCATTTGCTGTTGGTGTCCAGCAGGTAAGTCTAAGATAATTTTTCTAAATAGAAACATTGTATTATTAGGTTAATTTTTGTCTTGCTTATTTTATTAGAAATTAAAATAAAAATAATAAACTTATTGCATATTAATGTAGAGTGTGTTTTCTGTTAAAAATAACTTTTCCAAAATGAAAAATTTTTAACAAGAGGAAATGGCATTGTTATACATTTTTACTATTGTCTTTAATGTCTGGCTTAGTACAAGTCATATGTACACTCATATACATCTGTATTCAGTCTGTTTTAATTTGTGTTGGTGGACATAAAGACAATTTGGCCTTAGAGATAAGTTTAGAAATGGAAGAATGTTTTAATACACTTTTCACATAGTTGTAGAAATAAAGTCTTTAATATTACACCAAAATTGAGCAGTAGTTTCTTAAAGGTTAATTGTAGTGTAGAGTTGGAAATTAACTGAACATTTCATATTCCATTAGAGTAAAACACATAGGTGTATATAGCACTTTGAATGGGTCTTTCATCCATACATGATTTTGTAACATTCTGCACTGGCCATTTAGAGAATGTCGACTCATTGAATTAATGCAGATTTTCCTAATGTTAATACATTTCATTTTGCAATTTAAAAACCACATTTGTTAATATCAACATCAGTCTCATCAGAAATATTTTCAAATAATTTTTGCTTGAAAGCTCAGATTTTAACACAAGTAACCTGTTGTCGGATATTTTTTTTTAAGTGACAGGCTGATTTTATTCATTTTTGAGGAAAAAAACATGCCATATACACAAGTCTAAATAACCATAATTGGTCTATCAGTTTTTCTTTTAAGTATATGATATTGTTTGTTGGAACAAGCTGCTATTTCAGCTTTTTTCCTAATAATTGTTCTTTGGTATATAGCAGAAATGCTATATATATATATATATATATATATATATATATATTTCCCATTTAATAATATTTATAATTCTGGTTTCTTGAGAACTTTTTTTTTTTTTAAAGGACGTTCATAAGGAAAGCTTGTTCTGTAATTGTGTGGCTGTAAAGAATATGACTGCTGATAGACTTCAGTGCCATTCCATTCATATTAGATACAGAAAGTTTTACCACTCTTTTGTACCATTGATACAGATGTTAAATCCAGTAAAAAGGGCAAATAATAACTTAGCATTTTTATGAAAATAGGTTGCCCTCACAGATACTTTGATGGGTCTGTCACCCAATTTTTGATGATAGTTGTTTTTGAAATATGAAGTAGGATAAGCAGGTGAATGTTTTGAGTAAAGTTTTCTTAGAAGGTAAATTTAACAATAATAGGGATGTCTCAGAATATTGTGGTATGTTTAATAAGTAGCATACTAGTTACCCTTTTTATATTTAATCAGAAACTAGTCCTTTGACAGAGTATTATTTCAGTTTGTTTATTTAAATGCCTTCCTTGAGAATGAATGTGGTTCTGCAGTATATAATTTTAAAAATTACTTAATTCTGAGGATGATGACCTGTAAATTGTGTCAGGTGTTTTTGCTGGCTTAGAAGTCATTAATTTTTATTTAAAGTCATCAATATTTTTTCTCAAAGGTTTTATTGAAGGTATTATATCAGTACAAGGAGAAGCAATATATGGCTCCTCGAGTTTTACAACAGACATTAAATTATATTAATCAAGGAGTTTCTCATGCACTCACCTGGAAGAACCTGAAGCCTCATATACAGGTAATGATTTTCTATCTGAAATGTTTTTCTAGAAAATATAATGGAAATAACATTAAATACCATAAAGGTTTAAAAATGCTTTCTTTTTTTTTTTTTCTTGTGTTGCTTAGTGTAGTTCTGGTAATTGTTTTGAGAGTAGAGTAGAAAAATGAGGTAAAACATGTGAAGTTATAAAAGCGATTTTGTGACTATTCAGATTACCTTTTTACCTAAGCTGTTCTTACTGTTGGATTATGATTAGTTAATATTTTGGTCACGTGATTTGGAGTAGTCAAAGGACTGTTGTACCAGATTCATTTTGAGGATAGTTGGCTTATGTATCATTTTTATGAGTAATATTTTTGCTTTATTTACAAATGTAGGACATAGGCTAAAATTTCATGTTGTATTTTCTCAGATTACCCATGTGCACATGTTTTATTTTATAATTACTTGTTGCATAAAGGGAGGAATAGCTACATTGAAAGTTGATCTGAAAGTATACAGAGTTTGATATTAAGCTTTAAAAAATACATATAGATTATGCAGTTACTTTTGTTTTACCACTTTACAGAATTTTGAAGATTTAAATCTTCAGACTCACTTAAAGTTATTACTTTCTTAACTTTTAAATTACAGGGCATTATCCAAGATGTTATTTTTCCATTGATGTGCTATACAGATGCCGATGAAGAACTTTGGCAAGAAGACCCTTATGAATATATACGCATGAAGTTTGGTAAGGTATTTTCACATTTTTAGAAACAAAATGTTAGTTAAGGCTATATATAGTAAACCTAGGGGCTATCAATGTCTTTTACCTTTCGTACTCAAAAATCTTTGTTGCTGTGGCCAGTGTGACTCAGTTGGTTGGAGCACACCTGCCCCCACCCTCCCACCCCCAACACCTGCACCAGCCCTCCCCACACCCTTCCTCTCTTTCCAAAAAGCAATTAGAAAAATAGCCTCAGGTGAAGGTTAAAAAAAAATCTTTTGTTTCAGTTTAATTTATTCATCGATTAGACCAGCAATTTTCAACCATTTTCATCTCACAGCACACATAAACTAGTTAATGAAATTCTGTGGCACACCACAGAATGTTCTTTGATCTAACAAAAAAATATAGATATAATTTTGATTCATTCACGTGGGACAGCTATTGTGCTTGCTGTTGTAATTTTTTTAATTTGACAGTTTTACGGGAAAAGACGTTGGTGACCCTGACTAAATAGTTAGGTATTGTATGTTTTGAAAATTTTCAACTGGCACACCAGTTGAAAATCACTGCTTTAGACCTTTGGGTGGGGAGCTATGGCATTTGATAATTTTTCGCAGACACAGTTAAGTGTTACTAAGTTTTCAGATGTGCTCTGTCACGTGTCAAAATTGTTAGACATTCAAGATTATACTTTAACACTAAGTGTCCAAATTATACTTTGGATTCTTATGGTAGTCATCGATAATGTGGGAATCGAGAAGACATACACTGAAAGCTGGAGTCACACAGAGTCTCTCCATGGTACTAAAAAATTGTAATTGACTGATGTTGAGTATTTGTCCCTCCTCCTAGCAAAGTCATCATGTATTTTTATTTTTTTTTTATTGGCTTAAAATAACACACAATAATGTCAATTTCTGTGAGTTAGGGATCTGGGCATTGCTTAAGAGAATTGACTGCTTTAACATCTCATGAAGTTGTAATCAAAGAATCTTAGTGTACTTTCAGTAGTTTGCACTTGTGTGACCCTGTTGTGAAAATTCTCACAGTCGTAGTGTTCTATATGAAAGAAAAAAAAAATCACTGGGATAAATTAATGGATTGTTAACATTTAACTAATGTACAGAAAAGACATGGAATAGACTTTTGCAAAATTATATGGATAATGAGGCACATTTTCATATTCACCTTGCGTGAAAATTTACACAGTTTTAAGGTGTTTTGGGGTTTTTTGTTTTAATATTTTAATTTAATTTTTAGAGAGGGAATGGAGGGAGAAAGAGAGGGAGAGAAACATCGATGAGAAAGAAACATGGATCAGTTGCCACAGCCCGACTGGGGACATAGTCTGCAACCCAGGCATGTGCCCTGACTGGGAAATCAAATCTGTGACTTTTGGTTTGCAGGCTAGCACTCAGCCCACTGAGCCACATTAGCCAGGGCTAAGGCTTTTTTAACAGCCACTTTGTGGCAGTGATTGTTGAAGAAATTAACTTTTCTGTATTAATTTTAAATTTATTCTCTAGATGTATTTGAAGATTTCATTTCTCCTACAACTGCTGCCCAGACACTTTTGTTTACAGCCTGTAGTAAGAGGAAAGAGGTAAGTTATTTAAGGTGGAATACTTTTTCTTTAATATTTGAAGTTGGTTCAGATACACAGAAAGTCATTTTGTCATTCCTGCCTTTTAAGGATTTTGGTTTACCCAATGAAGTATTAGTTTTCTCTTTTTGCTCTAGGTGCTGCAAAAGACTATGGGATTTTGCTACCAGATTCTTACAGAACCAAATGCTGATCCTCGAAAAAAAGATGGAGCCCTGCATATGATTGGCTCTTTAGCTGAAATACTTCTGAAGGTATTTCTTTCATGTGCATGTGCAAATTGAGATACAATTTATATACCATAAAATTGGCCCATATAAAGTACAGTTCAGTGTTTTTTCTTATATTCAGAGTTCCAAAACATTTTCATCACCCCAAAAAGAAACCTTATTAGCAGTTACTCTCCTTTTTCTCTGAGACTTCTAAGCACTAGGATACACCTAATCAATTTTTTTGTCTCCTCTATGGGTCTGCCAACTCTGGACATTGGCTATAAATGGAGTGATAAAACATTTGGTCCTTTTTGAGTAGCTTTTTTTTACTTAGCGTAATACTTTCAAAGATCATCATATTGTGGCCACGTCACAGTACTTTCATTCCTTTTATTGTCAAATAATATTTCATTGTATTGATATACCACATTTAATTAATTTATTTATCTATCAGTTGATGGTCCTTTGCATTGTTTCACATTTTTACTATTTAAACAATGGAGCTATGAACATTTGTGTACACATATTTGTGTGGATGTATGTTCTTATTTCTCTTGGGTAATAAATATCTAGAAGTCAAATTGCAGGTCATATTTTGAGAAACTGAGAGACTGTGTTTCCAAAGCGATTGTCTCTATCATTTTATGTTTTCACCAGTGGTGCATGAAGGTTCAAGTTACTATGTCCTCACAAACATTTATTATCTGTCATTTTCATTATAGCCATCCTACTTGATTTCAGATGGTTTTTCGCTATGCTTTTGATTTACATTACTCTGATAACTAATGATGTTGAGAATCTTTTTATAGGATTACAGACCATTGTATATTCTCTTTGGAGAAATACCTGTTTAAATCCGTTGTCTTTTTTAATTGTGTTATTGTCTTTATTGTTAAGTTGTTACAGTTCTTTGTATGTTCTAAATACTAGACCATTATTATATATGTGATTTGCAGGTATTTTCTGCCATTCTCTGGGTTATCTTTTCAATTTCTTGAATGGTATCCTTCAAAGTATAAGTTTTGATACGATTTTGAAATCATATCCAGTTTATTTTTTCTTTTGTTGCTTGTGTTGAAAGCACTTCTTTTTGCATGACTTTTCTTTATTTTTTTAATTGTATTTTTCCCATTACCATTTATTTCTCTTATAGCCACCCCCTCCCAATTACCAAACTTGTCTGTGTCCATGAGTCCTTTTTCCTTTTCGCTCATTCCCTTCACCTTCTAATCCCCTCCCCACAGCTGTCTGCTTGCTCTCTGTTTGTCTGTCTCTGTTTTGCTTGTTAGTTCAGTGTAGTCATTAGATTTCACATGAGTGAAATCATACGGTATTTGTCTTTTTCTGACTGGTTTATTTCACTTAGCATAATGTTCTTCAAGTCCAGCCATGCTGTCTCAAAGGGTAAAATTTTCGTCTATTTTACGACCAAATAGCATTCCATTATGTACATATACCATAGTTGTTTTATCCACTCATCTGCTGATGAGCACTTGGGCTGCTTGCACATCCGTGGTGATTGTAAATAAGGCTACAGTGAATATGAGGTGCTTATATACTCTCAATTCAGTGTTTTGGGTTTCTTCAGATAAATTCCAAGAAGTGGAATCACTGGGTCATAAAACAGTTCTGTTCTTAATTATTTGAGGTATCTCTATACTGCTGTCCACAATGGCCACACCAGTCTACATTTTTACCAACAGTACAAAAGTGTTCCCGTTTCTCCACATCGTCGCCAGCAACTTGTTTGTTGATTTATTGAAAATAGTCATTCTGACAAGTATGAGGTGATACCTCAATGTGGTTTTAATTTGCATTTCTGTGATTAGTGATATCGACCATCTTTTCACATGATCTGGGACCCAGAAAAACCTGGAATTATCTTCTGGAGGGCAAGTCCCTTTCCCTGCTAGATGAGTGTTCTAGGAACCCATCTGTATCACTGTACCAGCTAGCATTATTGTGAGAGGCTGTTTGGCTTCATTAAATTTTTTTTGAAGACTCTTTCAGTGCATTTGCCCATGTCCCGATGGTTGATTTAAGAGGACATCTGCCCTCACTGTGCTGAGTGCTCAGCAGTTTTTGACCCAAAAATGGCAGGACCCTGGTGTATCACCCTGCCTATTCAAATGCCCAATTTTGCCCCGAGCGAATTTTTTGTTTCCGCAGAAGAAAAAAGTCCTTAAAGGAATCCGTTTTGCTGATGTGGAAGAGGTGAAACAAAAAATGGCAGATGCACTAAAAGGCATTGAAATAAAAATGAGTTCAAAAACTATTTTGAGCAGTGGGAAAAACATCTCAATAGTTGTATTGCATCAAATGGAGAGTACTTCAAAGGTGACTGAAGTTTAAACATGTAAGAATAAACAATTTTTTATAAATAAATTCCAGGGTTTTTTTGGGTGCCCCGTTTGTATGTCTATTGGTTATATGTTTGTCCTCCTTGGAGAAGTGTCTATTTAGGTCCTTTGCCCATTTTTTAAATTGAATTCTTTGTTTCTTTAGTGTTGAGTGTTATAAGTTGTTCATAAATTTTTGATATTAACCCCTTATCAGGTGTATCAGCAAATATGTTCTCCCATTCAATGGGTTGTCTTTTTATTTTGTTGATGGCTTCCTTTGCTGTGCAAAAACTTTTTAGTTTGATATATAACTTTGTTTCTATTTCCTGGGGATATGTATCAGAAAAAAAATACTGCTATGAGCAGTGTCTATGAGATTTTACTGCCTACGGTTTCTTCTTGGACTTTTATGGTTTCAGGTCTAACGTTTAAGTTTTTAATCCATTTTGAATGTATTCTTGTGTGTGGTGTAAGAAGGTGGTCTAGTTTCATTTTTCTGCACATATCTGTCCAGTTTTCCCAGCACCATTTATTGAATAGACTATATTTAGCCCATTGTATGTGCTTGCTTCTCCTGTTGAATATTAATTGACTATAAAGGTGTGAGTTTATTTCTGGGCACTCTGTTTTGTTCCATAGATCTGTATGTCTGTTTTTATGCCAATATCATGCTGTTTGATTACTGTGGCCTTACAGTTTGATATTAGGTAGTGTGATACCTCCAACTTTGTTCTTCTTTCTCAAGATTGCTGTTGCTATTTGGGACCTTTTATGATTTCATATAAATTTTTGAAAGGTTTTTTCTTGTTCTGTGAAATTTGGTATCCTGATAGGAATTGTGTTGCATCTACAGATTGCTTTGAGTAGCATGGACTTTTTTTTTTTTTTTAAGATTTTTATTTATTTACTTTTAGAGAGAAAGGAAGGGAAGGAGAAAGAGAAGGAGAGGAACATCAATGTGTGAGAGATACCATCAGTTGGTAACCTCTTATATGCCCCCAACTGGGGACCTGGCTTGCAACCCAGGCATGTGCTCTGACAGCAATTCAAACTTCTGACTTTTTTTTTTTGGTTTGCAGGCTGGCGTTCTGTCCACTGAGCCACACCTGTCAGGGCTACTAGCATGGACATTTTAATGATGTTCATTCTTCCTATCCATGAACACAGTATGTGCTTCCACTTACTTGTATGTTCTTTAACTTCTTTCTTCAGTGTCCTATAATTTTCTGAGTATAGGTTTTTTACATCCTTGGATAGATTTGTTCCTAGGCATTTTGTCTTTTTGAAGCAACTGTAAAAGGCATTGTTTTCATAGTTTCTTTGATAGTTCATTATTGGCATATGATAATACCATTGCTTTCATTTATCAGTTCTAGCAGTTTCTTGATGGAATCTTTAGGGTTCTTTATGTACAGTATCATGACATCTGCAAATAAAGACAGTTTTACTTCTTCCTTTCCAGTTTGGATGCCTTTTAATTTTTTCTTGTTTGATTGCTATAGCTAGGATTTCCAGTACTGTGTTGAATAAAAGAGATGAATAAGTGGACATTCCTGTTGTATTCCTGATCTTAAGGGGACTGCTTGTAGTTTTTGCCCTTTGAGTATAATTCTGGCAGTGAGTTTGTCATACATGGCATTTATTATGTCAAGGCATGTTCTCCTATTCCCACTTTGCTGAGAGTTTTTGTCATAAATGGGTGCTGGATTTTATCAAATGCTTTTTCTGCATGTATGGATATGATCATGTGGTTTTCATCCTTTATTTTGTTTATGTGGTATATCACATTTGTTGATTTGCTAATGTTGCACCAATATTACATTCCTGGATTAAATCCTACTTGATCATGGTGTATGATCTTTTTGGTGAATTCCTATATTCAGTTTGCTAGTATTTTGTTGAGAATTTTAGCCTCTGTGTTCATCAGGGATATTGGCCTATAGATTTCTTCCTTCGTAGTATCTTTATCCAGGTTTGGGAATAGGATAATGCTGGCCTCATAAAATGAACTTGGGGGTCATCCCTCTTGAATATTTTGGAATAGTTTGAGAAGGAGAGGTGTTATTAATTCTTCTTGGAATGTTTGGTAAAATTCACATGTGAAGCCATCTGGTCCAGGGCTTTTGTTGGGAGTTTTTTGATTACTGCTTGTTTTACTAGGTGTAATCATCTATTCACATTCTCTGATTCTTCCTGATTTACTTTTGGAAGATTGTATGTTTCTAGGAATTTATCCATTTCATCCATGTTGTCCAATTTGTTGGCACATAGCTGTTCATAGTATTTTATTACAATCCTTTGTATTTCTTTGGTTTCAGTTGTTATTTCTCTTTCATTTCTGATTTTATTTATTTTGGTCCTTTCTCTTTTTTTCTTGATGAGTCTGATTAAAGATTTGACAATCTTGTTTATCTTTTTAAAGAACCAGCTCTTGAATTCATTGTTCTTTTGTATCATTTTTTTTAGACTCCATTTCATTTATTTCTGCTCTGATCTTATAATTTCCTTCTTTCTACTCACTTTGAGCTTTGTTTTTCTTTTTTGTTTGTTTTATTTTTTATTTCTAATTTATTTTTTTTTATAAGTTATAGCCCTTTCTAGCCCTAGGATTCTCTTTTTTTTAAATTTTATTTACTTTTTGGGGGGGAGGGATTGAGAAAGAAAGGGAGAGAAACATGCAAGAGATACATTGATTAGTTG